TCTGTGATTCTGTGATTCTGTGTGTGATACCTTAAATTAAACGGAAAAGCCAGGTGAAATACATCTGGGATTTTCAACAATTGATGGAGAAAAATGAGTTTCTAAATAGTCTTTAAAAAAATCACTTGTAGGAATGAGGAGACCAAAAAGTGGAAATGCGGCACTTTTTGTCGGAAGGAGTGGGAACAAAGCAAAATGAGAAGCTGGTAATTCCCTTATGGCAGATCTAAGTAAGCTATCCGGGATAAAACAAAGCAATTAAAAGAAAAATTAAAAAAAAAAAAAAAAGCACCTATTTGAAAGCACTTCCTGTCTTCTTGGATTGTCGCTATTGAGAACAAGGAGTCTGCTTGCCAAACCCAAACTGTATCCCTGGTCTACCCAGCTGGTTTATTTCTGAGGCAACTATCATCTGGTTACCAAACTCAAACCTGACCCTGCAGAACAGCACCTGCCAGCCCGGCCCTGCTGCTGGCTGCTTTCCATGGACATCTGCTGGGCAAGGCACACGGTTCAAGCTGAAAATGTGGCTTAAAACCTTGCTTGGCAAGGACTTCTGTTTATTCTGCTATTTTTAACGAACCCTCCTGTGTTCTAAGGTGCAATTGCAGCATGCATGGACTTGTAACTCCTAAAATGTGTCTGTACTTAAGGACTACTTGCAGACTGCAGTTCCTTCTGCGCTCTGTAGCCAGACAAATTCTCCACTAGATGCTCTCTGTAGGTTAGAGTTGACTTTGTAAGTCACGTGTACTCCTTGGAAATCGGGGCTAAGTATTTACAAGCTATTGAATGTGCGTCAACCCCAGTACCTTTCACCAAGTATTTTATTAAAATAATTAAGATTATGGTTTTGTTCCTACTACAAAGGGCAAGGCAGATGCTGTCAGTGTGGTTGCAGGCTGCTCTGAGCTCATCCTGATTTACATCCCCGCAGCTCTGCTTGGTACCCAGTATTGGTAGGAAAGAATGCATTTTACCAGCAGTTATTTATGGTCAAGTGTTACAAAAATAACAAAGTTTAGTCCCCATATCTGCTGACCTGTACTGCACTGATGGCTTAATTCATAACCTGATGAGGAGGTCTGCCTTCTGAACCATCAGTCTTTATATTTCCCTATGCTTCCTGCACCAGAATGTGCTTAGGACTAGAGTGAGAAACTGAATCCTGAAATTTGAATATTTTTTGGAGAGTATATGAAAAATAACTCCTTAAAAATTAGCACTCCTTGAAAGTTTCCAAAGCTCTTTTGCAAGTGGGTTGCTTTAGCTGGATTATCTTTGCCCTGTTCTTGCCATGGCTTCGCATTAGAAAGGACTGAGCATCTGTTTGCTTCTCTAAACTTCCCGCATGATTTATTGTTTCATTGCTACCATCGCTGATAATTTAAAAGCATGCGTAATGGCCATTGCTAAAGATGTATGTTGTGTATTTGTGATTAACCCCCACGGATTTGATGAACGCTCCTGGTGTTTGCTTTGGTTGTGACCTGAAGTGTGTTTTCACTTCCAATGCAGGCTTGAGCAATGTATTAATTTCACCTTATTTTTAGAAGATAGTCAGTTTTGTTGTTTCCGTAGCTATGGAGCCCACATAAGGAAGCCGTGGCCTCCCATTACTCAGCTGTTGGACTAAACCCCTTCTGGAATCCCCATCGTGTCCAGCTGTTGGGGTCAGATAGCTTCAGAAGCAAGTGTATTGCTGCGATACGAGGACATGGGTCACCTCTGAAGGAGCGACATGTGCCTCAGAGGCTCTATTTGATTTTGTTTCAAGGGATGTGATCAAAGCAGTGAAAGTCCCAAAATTTGCCTTTACAGGCTGGTTGTCCCAATCTGAAAGACTGGTTTTCAGCAGTGCAGATGGGCACACAATTGTCCTCAACAGGCTGTGCCAAGGCTTGAGGAGGAAATAAAAAAGCAAAAGACTCGGATCAGTGTCTCTGTGAGACTCGAGAGATTTCTGTTAAACAGCCCGGTGTGTTTCACCTGAAAGAGAAGCACACCCGGTGGTGTTGGCCAGATACTTGGCAATAGCCAGATTATCTTTTGTAATAGGAAAATATTTTATGTTATGCATTTTTAAAAGTGAGCAGCAGTGTTACATTATTTTTACATGCCAAAAGGGCCCCCTTAACAAGTGTACATTCAGAAGGTTCTTAGACTTGGTAAATTTGAGAAGGGGTAAGCCTTGCTGTGGGACTCCTGATACCAGACACTGACAATACAGACACTAATTGCGTTATCTAGAACCTTTTTCTTCTGATTTTGGGTTGCAAAGTCCTGGGCGAGCCTGGCAGACTGTTGATGCAAATTAGGATGTGGTGCTGAGGTTGACATCTCTCGCTATCTCAATTCTCTTACAGGCAGAATAGCAATGATAGCGGTTTCTTTGTGCCACTCTTTGTACAGCTTCTATATTTGGGGTGTCAGATCACTGCAGGAGGAGACTGCCTCTTTCTAGGTGTGTGAATACTTAGCTCTGATCTTATTTTTGTTTTCTAGGACACAAATAGCAAGTAGTAGTAACAAATGTAAAAGCTTGTCCTCAGTTTCCGTTCCAAAAAAGTAGTGGAGGTATTAGTGTCTACAAAACAGAGGATGCAGACTTTGAGCGTGGATAGTGAGGAGAAGAGACAGCTTTGGGGGAGCCTTGCTGAAAGAAAGGGGAGAGGAAGGAGGGGAGGTTTGACCTCTCCTCGGGGTGGAGGATTTGGGCAGGCACCCCCAGAATGCTGCGCATCCCGCGTGGGGTGTCCACTGCTCTCTGGAGACACCACTGTCTTCTAACCAGAGGGGAGCCCAGGACAAGCAGGTGTTCAACTCGCATCATTGGTTCTATGTGGTGGTGAATGAAATGGTTCCTCTTGCCCCCATCAACAGCATTCCTTCCCCAACAAGAGGCTTTCCCAACCCAGAAGGAAATGGACAAAATGCAAGACTGAAAACAGAACAGTTTTCTCACGCTGTATTTTTACCTGTTTTATTCATGCTTTGACAAGAAGTGTGTCAGCATTTTCAGGAAAGACAACAAGCAGACTGTTTCATCCCGTTGATAGCTTGATTTTTGCAGATTTCTGCACTCTTGGTTTTTTACAACACAAAAGAATTTGGAAATTTTTTAAATTCTTGTAATACATTTTTTTTCATGACAATCTATGGTTTTTTCCTGTCTGGTTTTAGTGTTGTTTTTTTTTTTTTTTTTTTTTTTTTTTTTTTAAACCCAATTGTTCCTGTCTTTTTATGTTACTTTTTTGTGACCAGCATTCACCCACCTTGTCTATAAAAATTAAATCAGATGGATCATGTCAAAGATCAGCTGTGCTCAGATGAGGTATATTCATTCTTAACCTGCAATGCTGTTGTAAATGTAAAACACATTTTTTTAAATGCAGTTCCTATGAAGACGTTGATTGAACGAGCAAAAAGATATGTCATTTTAATTGGAGGACTTGTATGAGTGGTGATTGCTTTTTTGCATTTAAATATGAGCCTAACTTACCTAGAAGAAAATGTTCTGGCTCTGCACAGGCTTTGCTAACTGTGTGTTCAAAATGGATTTGTTTCAGGACCTTTTCCTTCATTATAGTTCAGAATTGCCTTTGTGGGTGCTCATTTTTGGAAATACACCTGCCTTGATTACACACAGGGACACAAATTTTCAGGACACAACCTTGAAGAGCAACCAGTGTTGGCTTAACTCTGCTCCTGGTTATAACTACAGAAATTATACCATTGATTTCAATGGGAACAGAATTAAGGCAACCATAAGTACTTCTGGAAATGTTACCCCACATTTTTAATCAATTGTATTTAACTATAGCAGTTAATAAAAAACCTCAAAAGATAAATAATAACAGTAATCAAGCTCTGACTGCTTAAAAAAAGGGAAAATCCTTTAAAATCATGTAAAATAAAACCTGCTTTTGTAAACAGGCAACACCGAGTAAGCAGGAATTCATGGTCTCATTTAGATGTTAATTGTACTGGAATATTTGAATGAGGATTGGTCATAGGCCTAAAACACCTCAATAGTTTGAAATATATTCATAAATAATCATTCTTTATACCTCATAATTCTTCTTACTGCACGTCAAAAACATGAACTTCTGTATTCCCCAAGAAACAAAAAGGAGGGATTATATTTGCTTTTGGCACAAAAAAGAAAAATAAAGAACTTAGCACCACCCTTAAGGGAGTGCATGGAATACTACCAAATTGGTCTTCATTTGCCTTAGCTTTTTTTTTTTTTTTTTTTTACAAAAGTCTTAAATACAGGTTAATATGTAAACACTGTGCACGCACTGAGAGTTCGATCCTGGCCCGTTGAAATCAATGGCAAATTTCCCATCAACTGCAGCAGTGCAAGACCAAGCTCCACGTTAGTATGGTACGTACAAGCCTAAGTCATCACGGGAGCGTGGGCTCAGGAAAGGAAAAGCTCAGGTGCCCGATTCAAAACCAGTTGCTGGAGGACTCAGACTTTGTGCTGAAAACCTTCCTGCACATGTTGGAGTTTTCTTGATGGAGAGGGTATTCGTTACCTGCCAACAGTTCTGCTTTTCCTCTCTTGGCGGTGTACCGTCTGCCAGATGGGAGACTTTCATATTTGGTCATGTAACGCCTGTAAAGACACAAGGTAGTGGGCCATCTTTAGCAAATTTATACAAAATCTGTAGCCTGTAGGTGAGGCTAGAGATAAACGCTTTACGCAGAGACCAGATGACGCTTCTGCCATGTGTAGGTGTAATCGGAAGATTTCTGCAGAGTAACAGATACCATTTTCTTAGGATTTCCTTGAGTTCTTTAATTCCTCTCAGGCTTACCATCTTTTGTATCAGAAAAGCCTGAATGGAAATCTGGCACAGGCTCTGCAAATGTTATCGCCTTGAGGTCTTAGCAAATAGGGATTAGGAGGGAGGAACAAACCCAGCCTCTCACATGGCAATGCAATTCCTACTCTTGGGCTACTGGAAAGCATCTTTTTTACCTTACTGCACAGTTGTATAGCTTTCAAGAAAGTTGGTGCCTTAATAAAATATGACAGAACACAACAGCTGCAAGAATTTAACACACCGGGTACTTTTGCCAACACTTGTAAGTAGCAGATGATGAAGAAAACATTCAACTTCAGCTAGTTTATGGCTATGCACTTCATCTCTCAACAGTGGAATAGAGAACTGCTGCTGGCAAAGTCTCAGGTCACCATCAGAACTGATCGTACAAGAGGGGAGTGTCCTGCCACTTCTGCTAGTTCACTTGCCAAAACAAATTAGAAAATGGGACTAAAGTGCATATTCAGAGAAAGTTGTGGTCTTCAAAAAGGTCCTTTCTGGATTTCCCAGGTGAGGGACAGGGAAGAATGGGTTAGCAGAGAGTTCGGTGTGCACAACGCTGCACCTTGTTGTGTTAGGCTGAAATTTAGCCTCTGTTGCTAATCTCTGGTGGCTGAGAGCACCAAAAGTTTGAGATTCAGCATCTGGCTAGAATGATGCCTCATAAATTATGTGCTCTTGTGTCTTACCTGAATGGAGACTCGGCTCTTTCCATCTGCATACAGACTAAAAATGGGTACTGGGAAAACTGCACCGTGGAGATGAAGTCTAAGGTTGTTTCCACTTCCAAAGTGTTTTCCATCCCGGTTTTTACAAAGAAGGAATCCACCTCAGAGTTACCAGCTACAAACATGGCTACCCTGCAAATCAATTCAGGCATTACAGTTAATTCAAAACACATCAAGAAAGAGGAAATTAAATTGCAAACAGTCCTCCCATCTGCAGATAAAAGCTGCCCTCAGTAGAGCCTCTTCTTCAGGTAAAGGTGTATAAAGTCAGGTAAGACCAGTGTGAACTGGTATTACCCAGGTGGAAAGGAAAAGTACAAACATTCTCCCATGTGCTGTTATTTAATTCATCTGCAAGGTCTTTTGTATTTAAATTCTTCTCATTGGGACTACCGGGGCTCAGGAGCCTGAGCTCTCTACAGCTACAGCGCGCACAGGAAGTATCTCACCGGATCTTGATGTTGGTTTTGGATTCCCTGTACCACAGGCTGAACTCCATCCCTCCAGAGATGTCGATGGCCAGGCCACCCAGGAACTCTGTGCTGGCCCTCGGCCCAGATTGCAGTTGGATCTCCTGGAGGTAAAGGTAACCCCCCGTTACTGACTGCACACCTCCGTGGTTCCCGTATTCCCTTTTACACTGCAATCACACCACTTGCCATTTTGCAGGAACAAAAAGGGACAGAGGGCTTTCCTAAAAGCATGGACACAACACCCCGATGTTCTCCCTCCCTAGAAAATGGAACGAGGCTACGGAAAGGTGCTTTGCCTCCTTCCCCTCTCCCCTGCATGCCCCCTGGCATAATTGCCGCAAGGAGCATCTCTGCAAGGAATATCACATCCTCTGTCTCCAGGAGTCACCACCCCAGCCTCCCGGAGGCTCTGCTGGCAGCCCAGCTGAGTCAGATTAAACTCCTCCCTGGAGCCCCAGCAATGGGGCAGTGCCCCGGGGCTTCTCCAGCACACTCGAGGGCAGCCCTGTCCTGGCAGCGGGATGCAAAGTGCTGCAAGCAGTCATGGTCTGAACCCACCGTACGGCAGGAATTCCATCACCAGTGGCTGGGTGGCCAAACCCGTAAACTAATGCACTTTAATGGCCACCGTGAATTTGCATTTAATGCATTTTCCATTAGCCATCAAGTGTGCTCATGGCTTCCTGAAACCTCTGCGGCTGGACTGGAAATGCATCGCGTGGAGTCCGTTTCGGAAGTGGTAATATAGCTCAGGGTCGTGGCAGCTCATTACTTTTAAGTTTTGACACACAGCCAAGGTTTGAAGGTTCACTCAGCTTGGCAATCTAACTTCCTTTATATAGTTGTCCTGCTTCCCTAAGCACTTGTGGATTAATTTGCTGATTTAAAAGAACCATTAATTTGGGAAAAGTTTATTTCGATCATGTCCCTCCTGTACAGGATGCTTCCTTCTCTCTCCCAGCTGGTTTTGTCCCCTCCCTGCAGGGTTTCTGTGCCTGTGGTATTCTCAGCACCTGTAATGCTGCAGGCATTTCTAGGAGGTGCGAATACCAAATTTCCTCCCCACTTTTGATATCCAGGCACCTTAGAAGTCTCTCTCTTAGAAAAAGAAAAGTCTTTCTCTTAGAAAAGATTCAAAGAAGAGAATCTTAGCTATTCAGTAGCCCAACGGTTTCAGCAATGCTGTCCGAAGATTTAAGAAAGAAGCAAACAGAGGCAGTCTGGCTTCCTAATCCCTATAGCAAAGAGCAACATTTAGGATGTTTTTTTATTTAGAGCATTAAAGTTTTCCTGCTGTAATTGAGGACTTGGATAATTCTGGTGGCTGTTTACGGTTACTTCACCTTTTAAGGTAAATAAATAATCCCTGAAACGATTCATTGCCAGAACCAGCTTGGCAGTCAGTTGCTGCTGGAGTGGGCTTGAGATTTAATGTCAGAATGCAGTGGGCTGGCTGGGGTTTATAAATCCAGCATGTCCCCTGCAAATGTGGTCATACCACGCTCTGATTTCTTATTGTCACCCAAGTAAAAATCACAGGTTGGAACTGGGATCTTTTTGAAATCAAAGGGAGTTTTTCTACTGACTGCAATGGGGCAGGGAATACTTTCCTTGTCAGTCTGTTTAGATGTGGAAATAAAGCTTGTTTGACTTTATTTTACTTTGCTTTTATTTGGCACTTAAGTGGCGGGTAGCAGCTAAGGAGTGAGGAGGTAACAGTACACACTCTGGCAGAGACACATACCCACAAGCAGACGAGCAGATATTTTTAGATGCATTGTCAAATTGCACCTAATATTAGAGTACGCTTGGTTTGCAATGCCTGCATGGTTTAAGGCTTTAAAGGCTACCTAGAATTCAGTCAGGTTGTCACTGAAACCGGGAGAGAAGCTAAGGAGTCCTTGTCTTGTGTTTTGCCAGCTCATCTAGTTCCTTATTTAGAGCTCGGTGCTGTCCTTTGCCTCCTGTGCAAATCCAACCCAGGCTGGTGGGAGGTGTAAATCACAGGGACCCAGCCTCCTCAGAAGCAGTATTTTCCTTTCCCTTCCTATTTTAAGCTTTGTATGTCATTTGCAGTGGAAACTGTGATCCAAAAGATCAGAATCAGTAGTTTGTTACTGTTTAAAATGCTAAAACGTGGTAGGTTTCAATTAAAAAAAAAAAGTTTATTTCTGTACTGCACTGACAGTAGTACTGTAATGCAAGGCAGAGAGGGCTGGAACGGGCACTTCTTTGGGAACTGGCCATCTTCCACTGGGCTCTGGCTTTCAAATGGTTTCTCTGCCCTATTAATACAGTATTTAATTTCTCTGTGCTCCTGGCAGGTGTGTTGCCTAGGAGAAATACTAACACTACTGAACTTTAACACAGGTGACTTGGGAGTCTCAAAAAGAGTTTTATGAGTTCTGTTTATTTTATAGAGTGAATTATAATGTCTGGATGGTTTATTCTTAGCCTTCAGACAGCACAGTGAGATCTGCAATGGCTGTAAAATACACCCTGATTTCAGCTCACGGAGTTATGTGAGAAAAGATGTTACAGATGGTGGGTGGGAGCGTATGCTTTAGAAGCAAATCACCTCTCTAAAATTTGCCTGTTGTGATTACTGCAGTTGTAAAGTTAATGAAAGGAAGCCATTTTCCAGGGGGACTGTTAGCTAGCAGATTTGACAGCGCTCTGAGTGCAACTCAGTTTTGGTCTTTCTATGCAAAATGATCCTTAGAAACAGCTACAGGGGAGCAGAACTTCACTAATATTTTTAAATCATTTTTCTCAACATTTTTCAAAACTTTTTCTCAAAAAAACTTTTTTCTCAAAAGGCAACACCGATGCAACAATTGCAACCCAAATATTACACAAGTTCTTTTCTGACAAATCAGTTGCCTCGTTTTTAAGTTCCAGCCTTGGCTTCCAAGGCATCCTTTGGGTGTTCGATCTCAGCTGTGCTGCCTGCATCTCACATTTTTCGCCTGCTCTGAGATCACACTGTGGCCAGCTGTGGCACACTGCCTTTTGGTATCACAGAATGGGCACTGTTTCCCATGCCTGGTTTTCCTCTTTGAAAGAAGATAAATCCCCATTTGGCTTGGTTGTCTGCAGGAAGAATTTGTAAAGGGGCTTATGTTCTGGGCAAGGCAGGCCCATGCTGGCCAGAGAAAGTGAAGGTAGCACTCAGCTATCAGGCAGCTAGATTAATGATGGCTCTCTTGCACTGTTTTTCCTCCGTTCCAGTGTTACACCACTTACACTTCATTTCTGACAGCATTTTCTGATTGATTTCAGTTGTAATCACAGTTCAGGAACATGACAGGTGAAAGCATTTCTAATGAAGCTTAATTGGGTTATGTGGAAGTGCCCGAACCATGTTGACGTTGCTGCTGACCTGGAATGTGGCTGTAAAACCTTTCTAAGGAAGATGTGCTGCGTTTAAAATGCAGCTCAGCCTCAAGACATGTTCAACAGTGCTTTAAACAACTTTGCCTTTGTGGGGACTAGAGAAAAAGTGCCTTTTTGGTTGCGAACACTCACTTCTGGTTGTGTCCACTGCTCGAGTCCCAAAGAGCTTAGGCAGAAACTGTGCCAGTGGCAACCCAAGAGAGAAAGCAGAGTGGGACCCCACCTCAGCACAGTGCTGCCCAGGCTTCCAGAGAGTCATGGACTGACCAAGAAATATTACACCCGATATTGTTAAAAATGTCACACAGTCCCAGCTCTGCTGTGCCCCAGATTTTTGTGAGGTTCTCCAAAGACGAGGAGTGGAGAGTCTGCTGGCTGGCAGAGCTCTCGGGGTGCCCAGCCAGCTGACTTGGCCAGGGTATGTATGGAGCTTGGTGCATGCACAGCAGTTGGAAATATTTAGTTCTGTAAACACCATGCTCGGATGCTCAGGGCTGGACATGATTATCTTTCTCACCTCTGAAGTCGGTTTGTTAAATAGGTCATGGTAAAGTTTTTGCTCATAATCTGTGTGTGAACTGTAAAGCATTGTTGGAATGAGCTTTAGTTCGCCAATTTGTGTGCTACATGGGAAGCCCTCTAGACTCCTAACACCATTATAAAGGGGCTGAGCTGGGTTCAGGATGGGGACAGCTGTCATGTGTATTTCTGTGTAATTTTGACCAGAGTGCATTTTCTCATCGCCTGCTTTTGGATTTTTCTTTTGCCAAGAGTTAAAGGGGAAAAGTAAAAAGTGAAGTCTGAGCCTGCAGATGTTTCATGACTTGAGTGCTGCTGTTACATCTACAAGGAGATCCCTACTTGGGAAGAATGAAAATATCAAACCAAATGCTGGCCCTGCACTTCTAGAGAGATGTCTAGATTTTTTGTCCTCCAATAATACATAATATAGCCATGTATATTTGTGTATGAGTCTATATTTAAGCATAAAATTAACAGACTCTTTAGGGTGACAGGTGCATAAAAACTGTATAATCCCCATTTTAATTCTTGGTTTTGCCTAGGAATAAGTACTTGAAATTCGGGTGTCTTAGTACTGTTCCTTGAAGGTTAGGTATCTGGAAAATTTTGAGTACCAGTGATGCGTTCATTCAGGACCTGACAGTTATTGGTTCGTTGGATGTGAGGTCTCTGGACAACTCATGAAGAGGAAAACTTAGGTGGCTATGTGGGCCAACACTGTATGACAAGAAACCGTGGGAGGGGAGGCCATCGCTGATAGCAATATGAGTTTTCTACAGGAAACTCAGTTGGTTTTACTTGTATGCAGTGTTACTTTGTTTTCTAGAATGATGTGTGTTCTCGCTGTTGTTCTAGATTGCTTTTCATGTAATTTCATTCTGTTATTTCATTCTGTTATTTAATACTTGTGACTTTTCTATTGCTCCCACAGTAAGAGAAGCCTATGTAACATTGATCATGTTTATCAGCATTGGAAAGAGAGAAAATAAGATGTCCTACAATAACAGTGTGGGGGAGGGAGCATCTGTGCTTAAGAGACAAAAAAAGAAGCAAACAGTATGCTATTAGTACCTGTGAGTAATCTGTCAGGAGGATAAGTCCTTTCACCACGTTAATGGGATCTCCAGTTGCTGAGAACATTTTAGACATTAAATCACCGTACCCTTGGAAAAATGTAACTGGCCTGAGCTGGACATCGAACAGAATGGCTGACATGCCAGCAAAGGAGTCCAGGTTTTCCTCGCCTTCATCAGGAGTTGCAGCTATGATGGACTCCAGACCTTGAGCTTCAATCACCACCTAAGAAGCAACAGTGACACAGAATCAATGAAAAAACTCTGCCTGACCCAGGCTGTTAACAACCCTGCACATTTTCTTAATGTGTAATAGCCTAACTCTAATTTGTGTAGTTGTAGATAAAAAAGTAAGAGCTTAAGACTTAAGGGAACTGGGTAGAGCAGCTAGAAAAATTGAAAATAAAATAATCTCATTACATGTTTTTTTTTCCTTTAGATGCAGGCAGAATTTGCCCACATGCAGCTCACAATCATAAGTCTACTTTTCTTTCAAACAATTTTTCCTTTATTCATGTGACTATTTTCCACAGGCATTTGGGAAGAAAACGCAAAGATGTTCCACTGCACAATTTTTGTCCTGCAGAAATTTATGAAGATTATAATAATGAAGGTAGTTGCCAACATTAAGAAAAGGCCAAAACAGAGGCCTCTCATTTAAATCTCTTTGATTCATATATTTCATCTACTCCTTTTATTGCCATTCTGGGTTACACCCAAAACAGGACTTGATTTTACAAACTCGCAAAGATTTTACTGATTATATCAGATAAACAGAATAGGCTTTAACCAGAGACAGGACTCAATATATGATCCAGAACAAAGCACCTGTCTTTTGGTTAGGGCAAACACGTGCCTCACTGGCTGTTGTGGGTTTCTTTTTCCCCCGTTGTCAGTTTGTTCTCCGCCCAGTGCTACAGCAAACCCCTATGGTCTTAAACATTAGCTGGATTGATGCAGAAGCTATAAGAAGAGGATGACATACTGGCTTAGTTTTATGTACAGTGCAGGAGTTACCTGGCTGGCATGAAGTTCAGCATTTCTGTCGAACATATGGATGTTCATGTTACTCCTCCTTAAAATGCCAGAGCCTGAATAGAGGATGTCAAGGCTGTATGTGGATGATACATCACGCCCACCTGAATTAAAAAAGAAAGAAGGTGCCTGTGACTAAACTAGTGGATTAATCAAATGTTTGGGAATACGAAAAGGGTTAAAAGGCAGGTTCATGGTTACATACGTGTAATATAGCCAGAGTAGGCAGAGGAAGAGCCCATCTTGGAGAAGCGATCGTAGTTATGAGCACGCATGTCCTTCAGAACTTTCCGAATTGTATTGCTGTGGTATTTCAAAACAAGCAAACAAACAAACAAAAAAACAGAGGTACAAAAGTGTTACAGTACCATATGTATTACTGTTCTGTAGAAATATCAAATTTGAGAGAGGGTCAAATATAAAAGCAAGGGCCCCTCTGAGAGAATCAAGACCTACAGATGACATTCTTACAGTATTGCAATTTAGATGCCTAATTCTTATTTGTACATCTGAAAATGTGACTAGCTATTAAATGAGTGTCAGTGAAATGCAGAGATTTATTCTGAAATATCAATACTTAAAAGTGCCACAAAAATCAGGCATCCTTTTATACTCTCCTTAAATTTTACAGGAGTAATTAATGAGAACCTGTGTATTCTTTGGGTTTCTGCAAAGCAGTAAGGATGATCTGTATTTATTTATATTTAATATAATGTACCTTGAAGGCATTTCAAAACGAAGTATATCTTGGATCATGGAGAGCATGTACTTGTTCATTTCCAGAGGCAGTTCGCCAATGGAGAGCAGGATGTTTTTCACTTCCATGTAGGATGGGTTACTGTTTAAGATGATAGCAGCTGCAGTGGTTCGCACTGTCTTTTCATGGACTTTACGATTCTGGTGGTATATCCTGTTCATTGTTTCCTTCACCTGGTCAGGAAACAGATTATTCAGTCAGTGCTCACATAGATGACGAGGCAAAGCACAGCTTGGAATCTTGTTTATAATATCAGCTTAAGCTAGCTCCATATCTAAGGCTAATACCTAAGAATATATTTTCAGCACCCTGTTTTTCATGGTCCTTTTGGAATGTAGGAGACATGTATAGCTCAGTCACCACATGTGCAAGTGGGGCATCAGTTATGCTCCCTCAGCCACAGTCCAAATGCAGCCTTCCGTGCTGATTTTCACAGTGGGCCTGTAAATAAGTCAGAGCACTGAGATCAAAATACGGTGTCAGTGATAAGATCAAGAGAGAGATTTCCTTGACTGCTGAGGGAAGATGTATATAAAAAAAATAATAATCTTTCAATTTTAATTTTCTGGATAGTGCCTGTGGTGGCTTCGTGTCCCTGAGAAGGTTGTGACACATCTTTGTTATAGAAAAGCCCATGGAGAGCCATGTAGCCCCAGTGACAGAACAGCCTCCAGCACGTTCACTGCAGAGACAGCGACAGCCTCAGTCACAGCTGCCAGCAGTAGGTGTGAAATGGGCCTCAGGGTAATGCAGCAGAGGCAGGACATCATGTTCCACTACTTTGTGTGTCTTCTCTTACTCTTGGAGACTGCAAGGTAAGATGCAGCTATTTTACCCTTCTCTTCCTTCATGTGTCCCCAGCAATGAGAAAGCGCAAGAAAAAACAGGGGTTACACAGGTGCCCGTGTGTTCCTGATGTCTCCTGCACATCCCAGAGCAGGCAGTGCTCTTGCAAAGGGAGCCTAGTTTTCCTTGCAGACTGCCTGTCACCTTCGATGGCTGTGTGTGACTCTGGAGCCAAAGGCTGACTAGCACTGACAAACAGGGAGCTGAGGTTTGGCAAGCAGGAGTGTATAGAGGTTTCTGGCCAGAACTGAAGTGTGCATAACTTTCCAGAGGAAGAAAAAACATACATCGGGCATCTTTAAAAAGAATGGGACTGACAATCTCTTTTAATTTATACTTTATGTTTAATACAGTCTCTTACACTTTTATTTCTTGGGCAGTATATTTCTTACCTCTTTGGTGAGAAAAAAAGGATCGTATCTCTGTAAGGCGGTGGCAGCCACATTGCTGATGGCCCCTTCTTCTGACTCGGCATACTTCAGAAGCAGTGGAATTGCTTCGGGAAGGAGTGCGTTCTTCAGTGCCAGCAGGTACATCCTGACATTGTCATCTTTCGTAGCCTTCTCCAGTCTATTTAGAATCAGCCTTTTGGCTTCCACAACAGCCTAAAGAAAATAAACAGCATGTTTAAATAGTGATCACAAACTCACCTTCCTCCCCCCCCAAGTAGGAGGGGCAGGGCTGAGTTCCAGCATGTTTTTGTTTCAAGGCATCATTGCACAGGGTTAGCAAAGGTGTCATTTGCAAACTGTATGTCGATGGCTTCCTTCAAGTGTAACCAATGTGGCTATAACCACGGTGACACCTGGGCTGGAGATTTATCATTTGCCAGCTGCTCCTGCCCTGATTCAGAGATCTTACTTGTGGGGCCAACATGTCCCCCCAAAAAAAGACAAGGGAAGTGTTCTTTAGTTAATGTAATGTTACAAGAGTGCCTGGCAATTCACAGGGGAAGGAAAAAGGGAATCCTAACGGCCTTTCAGATGCTCTGTGTCTTTTCAGCTTGTCTGATCAACCTCATCCTCTGTCACCAGCATCTACTCAGTCCATGGTCAGGGTGACAGCCTTCCTCCTGGGTTGTTCTAGGGGCACAGCTGAGTACTTGGACCAATGAATTTTCTTCACAGAGCTGAAATAACCTAAGGTGACTCCAAATATTAAATAGATCCTGAGTCCTCCAGTGTTTCTCTGAGAACATGCAAAGCTATTGGGCAACTGAGCACAAGTACTCCTGCTGACAGAACAAGCAGTGAGAAAAAATTCTGTCAAACAAGGGCAAGTTGGGAGAAATCCACAGAAATCAGAAGATGCCAGATTAAAGCATAAAGATGACAAAGTAGATGTCATTAGTTAAAAAAAAATAAATCTATCAAACATAGGTGTTTATGGACTTATTTTAAACCGGGGGGGAATATACTGCCCCTGTCTCTCATGTTCTCCCAGTAACATCAGCAGGGATCATTCCCGTGTGTTGCAGCCCAGAATCTGGCCACCAGCAAACAGCAAATACTCACCGGGAGCTTGCAGCCTTCTCTGTCGCACAGCTTTCTGATGACCGCTCCCATGACAATGACAAGGGTTTCTCTGATTTCTTCATTCGCAATATCACCCTTGAATGTAGCCTGTTACGCGAAAGCAATGCTATTAGTCTCTGTCTAAATATGATGAACCAGAGTCTTTAGTGGGCTTTAGTTCCCGTTTCTTGGGAATATTAGTGCAATGCAAAGGCAGTGATGACCACAACAGCCCAGGCTCAGGCTAAGCAGAGCACTGTTCTATCATTACATATAAAAACTGACTGCCATTTTCCCCTTGAGTTACATTCAGTGTCTCAAATAGTAGATTGATTTTGAAGCTATGTTTAAAAAAAAAAATAAATTAAATGGTTACAGGACTTTGAAAAAGCTTTTAATCTTCAAATTGTTTTGCTTACCTTCAGAATGATGTTTGTTTTTGAAGTAGGAGATTTGGTAACATTTTACAAAGTAAATAGACTTTTTGTCTGGACCTATGAATTTTGATTGTTTCCAGGCTGTATGTTACTGTCACACTTAAAGGGAACCGTGGAAAGGATAAAGAAAGGAAAACTGGAAACAGCAACAGTAGTTTCTTCTTCCCTTCGCCTTAGTCAGAGATGAGGCTCAAGAGCATTAACTGTGTTGTATTTGTTTTGTCCTTTGACTTACAGTTAAAGATTTCAGGAGCATTTCACTGGGGTGCGAAGCAAACCCACAGGCATAGAGGAATCGCTCCTGCAGGACAGACGTGCTTGCATCCTTAAAGTCAAGAAACTCCAGTATGGCCTCCAGTGATGCTGGGGTCTGAGCGGAGGTTACAGCATCCACTATCTGTGGACTACAATGAAGTGGAAATTAATTTATCATTGTAATGAGTTAGAAAATAACAAAAAGACTGTGCTGAATGTGGAAAGAAAGAAGCTAATGTGCTGAAAGATCTGTTCATTGCAGGTAAGAGACAGAATTTTTTTTACTCTTATTGAAAAAAAACTGTGTTCCTGCATTCTTCCACCTCAAAATAGCAGATGAACTACAGAAATTATTAATATCCATGGATAATAATATTTGAATTTATGCAAATATGGGACAAAAAAAGTATTCAAAACCCAGAACTATCCAAAGTGTCTTGAAGTTTACAAGACAAGGTTGTAAATGGAAAAAAGTGTTTTATAACACTTTTTTTATATTGCATAAACATATGCAATGGCAACGAGAGACGAGGCATCTATACTACCTGAGTTACCGAGATTTATCTCTATTAATAATAGCTATAATTTGTTTGAAAGATCCTGACTATATGGTGGGACTCAGAAATGCTTTCCAACTCCCTAGTTGAGGTGTGCATGCTGTTCACAACCCAAACTCTGATAATGGACAAACCATCTAACTCTAATGGATGACCCATCCCCTTCTTTGCTTTATTTCTGTTTGAAGGAAACAAATGGGCACGTCAAGAACAAGTTACAGAGAGTTTCAGAACAAGCAGTTGGGATGAAAACCTTTGGGTAAGCTACAAAGCATGTTTGCCTTGCATTGTAAATACAGTCTTGGTGGCTGCAGTGTGGTGCAAATATATTATACTACAAAAATAAACACAGCTTTGCAAAAAAATCCTTTTTCTGTAGATGATACTGAATACTGTTTTTGCAGTGCTAGGACATCACCAGTAGTGCTGAATCTGTTTGCACGCAATTTGCACTTATGCAGTTTTAAGTAACTTGAACTGTTTGAAAGCTTGTTCATGATGACTTACAGAAGTTCTTTATTTTCACTTTTAATAAGCTGCAGTATCTCCTCTTTTGTAGTTTTTCTGATGTTCTGAATGAAGGATAAAAAGCTTTTTGCAGCTTCAGCTTTGGAAAGTTTTTCAGGATACATATGTTCTCTGATGCTCTGCCAGTGTTCAGAAAGCTGTAAAATAATTCACATTATGTCAAATCTCTCAGATCGTGGTTTCAGTTCTCAAAATCAGACTTGCTAATGCAGATGTGTGGGCCAGCTATTGCCCAAAGTAGTTGAAATACAATAGACTGCTGATCCTTTAGCTAAATATTGTATACTTTATGACATCCCTGCACAAATATCTTTGAAACCTTTCTATAGCTGTCTCTCTTACAACACTTCAGTATTTTCCTGATAAGGTACATTGCCTTAAATGCAATCTATTTTGGAACAAGACATTAATATTTATACCGTAACTGGAATAAGGTGAATTCTCTTCTCTTGAAAATTTACCATGCTTTCTGGTGAACGCAGTGTTTGCCTTCTGTTCCCATTTTCTCCTAAGTCGGGTTTTTAAACTGGGAGATGCACAATTCCTAATTCCCAAATTAATCATATTTTCTTAGAAGAAGGTAATTTTGTAGGTGGTTAGTGTGGAACAGGAGTCACTGTCCCGTAAGTAATACCCATTTTTCATTCATAACCCGGCCTAAGATTTGTGGTTATTGTACAAAATGATAGATAAGATGATATTAGAACAGGTATTGGCTTCTTCATATGCGGTTGCTGTTGCTGACCTGAATGAGCCAACACAGTACCAAAGCACCTCTACCTGTCCTTTCAGAGACACTCTCATAAGAAACTGGTGCAGGGATTTTGGCCTTTCCTCTCTCACTTGCCTTTGCCTCTGTTATCTCAAATTATCACAAACATTCCTTGGTGAAAAATCAGCTGTTCTTCGCAGCACTGTTTACTGCAGTTTTCCTAAGAGGGAAAGAACACTGGCATGCATTTGACCTTTACTAAAATACTTCCCCTCTTTATGGCTTTTGTATTAAGCAATAACAACACTTGAACCTGGGGCAAATAGAAGCCTCATTCAGGAGTACAGAGTGCAACTTCCATCAACTGTAACAAACAGTAATTAAGCAACAATGATTGAGACATAGGATATTTCCTGAGGATTAATGACCAGCTGGGAGGAGCTCGTGTTCTGAGGCACAGATGTGTCTGTTAACCTCAACTGGTGATGAGTGCTTAGCACCAAGGTCAGTGTGGCTATTATAAGCTGAAATTGGATAAACATATGGGGCACTTTCTGCTTCCCGTGTTGAAGTTGCACCATAGCCCAGCACAAAATCTCTAACCTCATTAATGCTGTGCTTTCTCCTGTGCAGAGCCCAGCTGTGTGGGCTTGTTCTCAGTTAGCTTAGCCCATACCCTAGAGACGAGCAAGGCGGGAGATGAGAGCTGGAGCCATCTCTAGCAAAAGAGAGTGGAGACTAAGTCTTTAGAGGGGGTGCTCTAACCATTCAACTGCTGTCTCCCACAGTGACCATGACTTTAAAAACCAGTTGACTTTTGTGGGGGGCCTCGTTCTCCTGATGTGACCGTCAGGCAGTTTGGATTGAATACCCCAAGGATTCAGGCACAGAAGCACTGCCACATGGCAGCTCAGCCAAGCTCGGACATGAATCTCTGTCTCTCTGACAGAAGGTCTTTTGGGCACTCTAGGAAAATTCAAGCCAAATCAAGAGGTCCTAAACTGAGCAGAGTTGGTTTGGAATGTCAGTGCCAGACAGCTGCTTTACCAACCTACAAAGGTTGGTGGCACAAGGCAGAGCAAACCCACCTCCATTTCAAAGGGGCATGCATCCATTCCTGTAGGAACCATGAGCATTAAAAAAAATGTAAGAACCATGAGATCTTCTGAAAAGAGCATGCTTTATGATGTCTAAACACAGAAATCTAGGCCTAAATTTAAATGTAAATGTTGGCCATAACCTTACAGAATCTAGTGCTGCCATCTGTGAAGTGGGGATAGTAATGGTTATTTTACCAAATTCATAAGATAAGTCCTATTATGAATTGAAAAGGGTTTTAAAAACAAAACCGTAGGGCATACCATGTCAGCATGGCATTAATGTATACTATGATATATAAGTACCAAATGTTATGTTGCTGCTTTGGAGACAGTGTTCTGTTTATAGACCCCATCTTTTCATAGCAGTTACTGTAAAATGCAGTGAGAAATCAGGGCTTTATTCTCATCATACCATTAGGTTTATAATGACATAGCTCAGTCCCCAGGCAGTGCTCTGGAATTATACCCTATGTTTGTTATCTTGCTCTGGAAATTATCTCTATAACTATTATGACAAACTTGGTTCCAAGTGACAAATTGGCCAGCACAGAGTCAGGGAAAAAGCACCTGTCCCTGCTCTGTTTAACATCCCTTGACGTTCGCTGCGCAGAACTGCTCCAGCACATATGCAACATAATTTCTATTTCATTTCCCCTAACATATTTTTTTATCTTCTCTGCAGCTCAACAAGTATTAGACAAGACAAATTATTACAGTGCAATGCTACTTCCAAATACCTAGCACAAGTTCCAATAGAGTAAAGCGTTTGAGCTCATAAGGAGTATCTCTGGAGGATTAAAATTATGTGTGCTGAATAGAAGCCTTATCTTACTTATAAAAAACTGATAGAGAATAATTATCTTTAAATTAATGTTCCCATTCACCACTAAATACATTCCACAATGGTAATAGCATTAAAACTGCTCACTAATAATCACTGTAGGAATTGATATTAGTTTATGATTAATAGTATCAGTAAAACAAATGATGCATTTACAGTACCAAGCTCTTAGTAGTCTTTAGATGTCTCAAATATAAAAATATAAGTTTTTTTTTTTTTCCAGGGGAAAAATGAGAACAGTATTGGACTTACCATGAATACTAAATATACAATTATACTTACAAAATACCTATAAAGTCTTTTAAATAAAAGACTTCCTTCAGGGTCAGGCAGTAAGAATAGTCTAGATATATTACCAACAAACGTTTAGCCTGCCTAAGGAATGCCTACCTTTAATTGCTAGGAGCAGTTCAGCTCCTCCATGCCAGAATTGTTTAGAAACACTGGCCAACCATCTTAAAAGTCATTTCTCACTCCCTTACCCAGAGGAAATAAGCTCCTGACAACTCAAGGTTGGTAAAGATGAGATTGAATAAAAGGACGGTGTATTTTCTGATGGTCTTGAGAAATACTGCACTCAGTCTTTGGAAGAGAGCAAAAAGGTTGGGGCTTCTAGAGGTAGATCTTAGAACACCCTTGTGTGGTGGAACACCTGTGCATCAGTACCATGCTGCTCACTCCGAGGAGTGTTTTGTGTTGCTGTGTTAGACATTTCCTAGTGGGCTGCTTGGACATAAACTTCTTTCACACTTGTTCTGCTTCGTGAACCAACCTGACATCCAAGGAGCCTGTGTTTACTTACTGAAGGACACTTCTTGCATTCGGATTTGACTGTCTCTGCTACTAGTGGCACGGCGACGTAACTAGAGTCCAAGCTCCTGACAACACTGGCAACTTGCTTCTCAGCGATCAGACCAGGTCCAGCTTGTATTGACTTCAGTTCCAGTCTCTGCCTGTGTATCCATACAGGGAAGACACCGTTAGAACTTAACTGTTAGACCAGAAATGCAGAATTCACGGCAAAAGGAAACAAAAAACCCCTCCACAGACCAAAAATATAGAACAGAGACTTATTGAAGATTTATTTTAAAATGTTCAGAACATGGCAAGTCTATGGCTTTTTTAAGGTGACAGAAGTCTCTGATACCAGCAGAATTATTGCTCTAGGTATGTGGCATAAAATACGTAAATAATAGACTTTCTAAATTATGGATTTATACCACCTGGTAAACAGCTTTCAGTAACCATATAAATCCTGAAATACTTCATATATTTGTCCATAAGAAGATCTGGAAAGTGAGATTTTGAATGAATGTATTTTTTAATATCATAATACTAAGGAGATGCCTGAATCATTTATCTCATATGAGTATCTCCAAACTTCTATTGTTTTAGAGTCTGGAGTCTAACACAGATCTAGGTTTCACTATTGTTTCCTCTCTATGAGGCAAATTTCATTTTCTATACTTCTGAACTTTCACATACTAGAAATGGAGGTCCATGGGAAGTATTTCTTAAGAAATGAGAGGACACAGAAACAGAACATCTGCAGAACTACAATGTGTTGCTTAAAATGTTCTGGCCAATTCCAGCTGTTTCCATTTAATTTCTTATGAATGTCATTGTTTTATTATTTGCAGTATGGTAGAGACCTTAATCAAAGTTGGACTAGGTACCATATGGATAGAAAAGACCTAAATCCTGACCTGGAGAGTTTACAGCCTCAGATCTTGACGCTGTAAGACTATCACATATAACCTGACTTGAATGGCTAGTCCTGCTACTATCAATGACAATCAATTACCCAACTTACTTTGAAACTATTTTGGCACCTGTTTTTCGTCGGAAATTCAGAAGGAAAGCATAATTTTCTTCTGCCTTAATGGATTTAATGAAACCATCTTCCAGCACATAAATTGTGGCAGATGTGGCTTTTGTATTGACATCTAAAATCTGAAAATAATTTTAAAATAAACCAGAGAAAGGACTGATCAATAAACAACAGGATAGGAAAAGCTGATTTATTAACAGAGCATGTGCTACCTTTGTTCCTCTCTGAGCTGAGAAAGGTCTGGTTCTGATGTTCAGTTACCTCTACAGCACATCTACATTACACCTGTGCATTAGGGAAGCCTTTGACCTTCCAGGCAAGCCTGTCAGTGCTCCATTCAGGAGTCAGCATCTTGCCCAGCATTTACTTGGTACAATAAATGCTGTGACCTAGCAGCTGGGGAAAAGGTTACAATTGTCACTGTGACTGTGACTGCATATAGTGTTTTCCTCTACAGAAAAAGAAGCCCCACGTTGATTAAAAAATCAGTACAGCCAGGGCAAAAGGGCTGTTAATCTGCATAGAAACTAAAAATATATTACGGATGAGATTCAAAAATTATGAAAATCAGTGTGTTGCACTTAATGTCAGCTGAGCCAAAGTGGTTTGCACAAGAGGAGAATCCATTTCCTGCTCTCCCCATGGGTACTACATTCAAAATTTCTACTGGTAATACTACAAAATGTACATGCAGAATTTGCTTGCTGCAATAATGCAAGAAAGGATTTTAGAGAAAATGAGGAATAGGTACTAAGGATATATTTTTAAAGAGGCAGAAAATATTTTATTTTGTTAAAGAAATCATACCTGGTTGTGGCTGGTAAATCCTTGTTTTTCTGTTTCACACGAGTCCAGGTCTTTTATTTTAGTCACTTGATCTTGCCGTACATGGTAAGTAGTATTGCATTTGCCAGATATGTCCACCTTGGAAAAAAGAGTTAGATTAGGACAATTGCTTGAATTTATCTTTGGGACCCTGGAACACCTTCCAAAGATGAACCATTTTCTCCACTGTTGGAATCTTTTACACAAGGTGCTGCACTGTTTGGGTTTATTTACCATTTTTGAAGGTATCAGTGTTTCTAACGACCTGCTTTGTATAGGCAGGGGTACTTTTCATCAGTTGGCCATGAAGGAAAGTAACGATGTTTGTTTAAACAAAAAAAGTTAGGAAACACCAGGCAGTTGGCACTATACTTATGAATTCGAGTTAAATTCCAGCCTTGCTCCTGTGGACAGATGTAAAAATTTAACAATGTCAGGCAGGTTAAATGGATGTGGCTAAACCATTGCTAATTTTGTGTGGATACTCTGCTTGATTTAAAATGGCCTAATCCACTGAATGGAGTTTAGGAATCAACTGGCTTTAAAAATTAGTATAATCTCCTTTATAGTGACCTGTTTCAGGCTGGTCTTTTACCAAATTCTGCTGAATTGGTAAGAGCATTTTAAATCAAATGGATTTCACCAATTCTTTATGTTAATTGCAGCAACTTCACTTGTGTCACCAAATACTCAGAAAGCTGTCTTTACATCCCCAACCTCAAACGCCATCAAAGGGCTGATTTCTGTCATACTTCATTCCTTCTGAAGTCAGTGAGAGCCACAGGTCTACCTTCAGAATAGCCCAGGCTCTGCCTATTTCTCTGATGACGATTATCTTGCCAGGAGAGCACCATACCTCACGGGCAGCACCAGAGTGCAGCTGGAGCTGGAAAAGGCTCGCCAGACCTCTCTTAATGTTTTGAGTAAAACCAGGTTCATTCTGATATGAGTAGAAGTTTTTGACCTGTAGGAATACAAAACAAGTATATCACAAATCTGGATAAGGGAGAAAGGAAATGTGAGGATCCCCCCTAGAAAAAACACACTTATTTTTTTCCTGATGAGAAACTGAACTTGGACCTGTTGCCCTTATTTAAGGAAGCTCCAGAGTCTGCAGGGCCTGCCAATAACACTACAAACATGTTTCAGGCTTTAGCTGTATGCAGTGAGCATCTTTCCTGCCTGTTAATTAAAGAGAATTTAGGAGGGAAATGGGAAACTTTACATAATTTCACAAGTGACTCATTTTTCTGCATAATCCTCAAATAATCCCTCCCCACACATGCATGATATCTGTTGCACTTTAATAACAGATTACAAAACCCCAAAATGAATCACAGGTAAATCACAGTTAGAATCACCTAAATGACGTGTCAAACACATCACAACCTTTGCACTTCACAGTTGCGCTTGAGCCTCTCCTCTGGTAATAAGACTTTGCACCTCCACTTTGCATTCAAGATGCTTTAAGAGTGCACTTGTTTCAGGAACTCTAAGCACAATCAGCATGTTATCTCAGGGCAACCCTGGAAAGTGAAATCACTGTGCCAGGAATGAAAGTATCACACCACAAAGAAATCATAAAAGGCGTGCACAGACCCTATTTCCTGAGAAAAACCCCATGTTTTTAATACTACATCTCAATCTTAGCGTGTGAACTGCTTCATGTACTAAGAGCAGATGTATTTTCACCGTGCTCTTCTGATACTTCTGTCCTCATTTAGGGATGTGTACAGTTGGGAGCCAGTGCTGTCCTGTTTTTTAGGTTGTGTAAAACTGATGACAAGGCTGAGTCTGAAAGTTACTGGGCAGGCCTGATAGCAGCTGCAATTCAGCAGGCTAAGCTGGCGGCCAGAGTACGTGCTCAGTGCCTATTTACAGCAGGAGGTAAAGATCCTGCCAGGATAAGGTGTCACAGCCCTCGCTCCATGCTACAGAAGAGAAAAGGGAGTGTGACCTTCAACCTTCCTCCTTTCTCCCTGCCCCTCTGCTCACATCCCACCTGCAAGCGTTGCTCGGGCTGCAGAGGGGAGAGTGGGGCTGTTGGCCTCATGCAACAAGCAAGGAGAGGGTGAAGGAGCGTGGAGAGGAGGCAAGAGCAGCCATGGCTCAATCCTTGCTGCTTCCTGGCCAGAGCAGTAGGCTGAGCGCAAGGGGACAAGTGAGCAGCTCTGCAGGGGAAAAAGAGGGGGAGATGGATTTACTTGAATCACCTTCTGAGCAAAACCGGGACTCTGAGATCTACAACTGGACATTGGTGCTCCTGTGGTAGGACAGTGCTTTGTTGCTGTCTCAGGGCAAGCTCTAAAACCCAGGCACACACTGAGACATGCCTGCTCACTGTCCTTCTCTTCTGATATTTGGAGACAGTTCTCAGTAGAGGAACAACATGAAAGGCTGTTTCAGTAACAAGCTCATTAACTTGGGAACACTAAAACTGCAGGTGACACTGAAGTAAATAAGCAAGCCAGAGAGGTGGGAAAAGCAGACATGTTAAAAGTATTTGCTAAGGGTTTAAAGTGATTAACACTGTTCCTCGCAGACTTGGTATAACCTCCTTCATGGCAAACTGTATCTCCTTTTCCCCCTTCAGACCGTGGACAAAATCCTGGCCTCACTGAAGTCAACAGCATAAATCTTACATAGAAGTTGTGTATATATCTGCACATGTACCCACATATTTGTTTCCAGTCTGCTGTTCACTTCGATACTGTTTGATGTTCTCAGCGCACAAGAGTCTTGGGCTGGTAGGGCCCCTTGTACAGGTAAATTACAGTCTGTTCTAAACTGTTGTATTTTGTATAGAAACATAGGACATGATGGCATATTAAGAGCACTGAGAGGACAGTGAATTGGTAAATTCTCCAAGCCTGAAAGAGAAGATTGGTCTCAGGTTTCCTTGGGGATTGAATTTTAAGAGACAGGGTCTTACTTTTCCACGGACTAACTCAAGAAGCATGGGTCTCTGTAAAGCTTCCAGATATTCTTTCCTGATGATCTTCTCTGTGCTTTTTCCTTTGAAGATGCTTTTAGCAGCTGGACGTTCATTCACATTTTCAACTTGAACATCTCTTATCTAGCAAAGTAAAAGCAGAGATAATGCATGTAGAGAGCAGTGTAGCCTTGGCCTGGGGTAGGCTGGATAGACTAAATCACCTAATACATCTTTTTTATTTCTTAATTTCTGGTTCTGATCATTAATCTTCCATAATTACTATGTCTATGTTTTCAAAAGAAACCAGCACTCAGCACTGGGGAAGTCAGTAGCAGAAAAACTGCCCAAAAAGCTAAGTACTAACCCCAGTTTATATTAAGCAAATGTCATGGTTTGCAGCTAGAACTGAGGACTTCAGATAACTTATTGCCCCTCAGGTAGGTGCCTGCACACCAGTTGTTTGAACCTATAGAAGCTGTATGAAGCCATTTCGAAATATAGGAGTTATTCTGAAGTTCTGTCTTACAATGTAAGATACATTCTTGTGAAGTCTTATTCTATAGGCATCAGTTTATTGAAGAAGCTGGTTTTAGTTGATGAGATTAGAGATAAAGAAAAGATTTAGCTCATCTTATGAAAATGAGTTCTTCAAGATCAGATTAGGAGTTAGATAAATGCAGAGAAGACTGGGTATGTTTTAAGTTGTCTAGTGGCATTAATTACCATAACTTTGACCAACTGGTCATCATCATTGTCGGGATTTCTCCATAAGAGGTTGACATCCACAGCAGAAGAAATCCGGTAGCCTGCACTTTTCTTCAGTGATGCTTTTACCTGATCAACATACACTTCAGCAGAGTAAGCAAATTTATATAGCTTGTCATTATTTAAGCTTGGTCCAGTAGTGTGCCCTGTTTAGAAAGCAAAAACAAAACTTAGTGGTTTAGAATTTTCTAACTCACATAATCTGTCATTGTCTCTAAAAAACACCTTTAGAAAAATTTAAAATTTAATTGCCAACAAAAGATTTATGGGACTGATCCTGCTACCCTTGATTACAGAGGCTGTCCCACTTGAGCAGCTGTTTTTTTTGTGATTAAGGTGACACCAATCTCATATATTTAAGCTAAGAATATCCACAAAGTCCTTTGCTCTACCTGTATGTTTAAATAACTAAAAGAGAGTCAAATTCTTTACTTATCATAGACTCACAGAATGGTTTGG